ACTTGTCGCCGTCGAAGTGTATAAGGCTCGGGTGACATGGGTGGGAGCCGATCCGGGATTTGACCCTCAGGCTGCGCGTGTGCTAAGCAAGCCGCCCGCTAAACGGAGCAGATGGAGTGCGATGACACATCCTCCCCCCCCCCTACCATCATCGTGGAACCAGCTACGTCGCTAGGGTTTCTTTGCTGGTAGCTTTGACGATGCTCAGACACGCATGTAAACGTCTTATCTTCCAAATAAATGGCGCATTAGTGCTGCAGTGGCAATAATGGGCACCAAGCCGATCATCTTATTAATTGAAGATCTCTCCTTCCATTTGATGCCGGAGTTTTCGATGTTTGAGTAACCGTTAGCGCTAACGGCTTCGTACTGATGTTGGGGTATAGATTCTTTGGAGTGAACAAAACCCCACGACTAAGGCACTTTTCATGTTTAAGCACGCAGCTTTAGTCCTTCTGGTGCTACCTACTTATGGCGTATTACAATGCAGCATGATGTCCTTGCTCATCTGCTCACTCCTACCACCCGAAGTTTGTCCACAATGGAATAGTAAAAAAAACAGCGCGCTGGTCCCAACTTTTCCGAATCTTCAGCAATCTCCAGTTTTTGACAGGGAACACGAACTCACTTTGTGAATTCTATATCTTGACCTTATTAAGAACCACTAAGGCTGTTAAATTTGTGGGCGGCGGAATGGAACCAAATCGATGACACGTCTTGTAGAAAACTGGCTCTGCCCTTGATGTAAACAAAGACCCCTCGGTTGCGGTGAGGGCGGCGATAGCGGCATTGGAAGTGAGGTAATGAGCGCGGGCAAGGCCTAATTGATTTAATGTTGCAGGGCTGCAGTTCATCGAATAACTAGCTGGGAACTACTCTTGTGCGTCGTCTTTGTCTCAACTGGGAATTCCTCTGCTGGTTTAATAGTGTGGTCGGGGTCTGATATAGGGTCTAGACGATAGTGTGCCAGAGTCCTGGAGAAGAGGCCTAGAAAACCTGCCAGCGCTAGGAAGCATCGGGATGCCGGAGCCTCGTTATTTCTAGTGGTTCTATTGTGTTATACTCGAAAAATTATCTAAATCAGGGGTAGTGAAAAAAGGCCGTGCTCCTCTGACCTAAAGTTCAGTTACAGCATGGGCGTACTCTTACTGACTTTTACTAATGGCATGTTTTGAAGAAGGGTGGGCAGACCTATAGAGTGTGAGATGTTGGGGGGGGGGAGGGGTAGGGTTACTAGTCTCCTAAATTTCGCGGGTAGTCTATACAATAGAGCGGAGATGGTGGAGTGGCAAGCAGCGCCGCTTACAAGGTGCTTTGTCAACACCAGACACCCCGACCAGGGTAGCTCTCTCCGGGTCACTCACGCCTTGTTATCCACCCGGTTGGTTAATTGGTTTCAGAGGGTTCAAAAACGCTGACTTATAATTCGGCTGATCCACACAGATCACTGTGTAAGTTGAACCGTATTTGAATGTCCGTAAAGGAGGTGGAATGTGTGGCGCACCAAGAAAAACCCAATGGAGGCGGAGGTGTCGTCGTGACAAGTGACACGCTTACCGCTCGCACGGTCCCTGGACCATCCTGGGTGGCTCCCACCCAACCCAACCAAGCCTTCTACCCTCCGGGGACGGTAAATTGGTACCATTCGTCTGGGAGGATAAAACACTGACTTGTACATCGGCTGGCCCCCGCAAGTCATTGTATAGGCCACATCGCATTCAAAGGACTACGGTTTTAAATGGAAGAGGAATGCGTGTCGCATTCTACAAAGGGGTTGGTAGACGGCGAAATACTTCAGCCTTTATCCTTTGCCCCAAAAAGGGAATGATCAAAGCCTTTGCCCTTTATTCTATTACTATCGTCTTCAAAGACGTTCTTGACAAGTCGAGTCCAAAGATTTTCATTTATTTCACATCAGTTGTCACTACCACCATACGACATTCTGGCATTACGTACCACATTCATTTTCGCTTTATTCAACACAACATGATTACGTATGCAACGCAATGTGTGCGTGAGACTGGTATCCAAAGTGGAGACTAGACGAAGAAGTAGAAGCATGGCTGAAATATCAAAGGAAAAAAGCACTAGCTGCATAAGGAGAAGCATCACGAAGCTATGATGATGTAGAGTTCTGTCGACCTTCTAGCAGTAGTCATGGACGAGTATGTTGGCAGCAGGATAATATTACGATTTTCCACTATACGTCTCATAAAAAACAGCATATCTATCATGAAAAAAAGACCACTTGCATGTGCATCAACACAGGAGGTGCACCATTTTGTCAGCATGCCCTAGTAAGCAGTACATTTAAGTTGCGGTGCAAATGTACTTGCTTACCTATCAGTGCAATATCAGTGTGTAATGTTAGAAGCTTCGTGTGAAATCATGATTAACTCAAGATTCCGCTAAGAATATCACAAAAGGAACATGTGCAAAAGCTCTTGTGCAGAATCTTGAGCATTGTACAGTACGAAAAGGGAACTGAACAACTAAAACAAAAGCAGAAGCCAATGTTGCACAAGACTCCACTGTACGACACGAATCAGTGGATACGGGGCAATTAGCCTCGTCACTCACCAGGAGCTTGTTCGCCTTCACCTGAAATATGTCAACGTTAAAGAGGTATCCAACACCACAGATTCATTGAGTGTCACGCCTTGTTCGCTGCGGCTGTGGCAGCGTGGCAGAGGCTGGGTTGGACGCGGCACTAGCCCTTTTTTCACCAATTGTTGTCGCTTGGAGACTTCAATCGGTGCAGAACTGGCTGCAGCCATGCCAGATCCAGCCTACCTGACACCCTAGTCCGCAGCGAACAAGACATTTGTTGAAGCAAATTGATGGCCAAGAAAATTAAAAGCTTTTAATGTTTTTTCTTTGATACTGAATTACGTTCAACAATGAACCTTGTGTTGGAAAAATAAAGTGGAGTGGGGTGTTGGTGGGGCGGGGGGGGGGGGCTAGTCTAGTACAATCATGTGCTTCGACCACTTCTCACGCTATGCCACTGAGGTACAAGGGCAGAAGGGGGATGGAAGGCTGGAACTTCCCAAACAATGCTTAAAACCTTTTAATGCATACCTTTACACCTAACGAGTTAGACTGTGGACCTATATCAGACTAGCGCCTGCCTGGAAAAGGCATGAACAAGCAACCGGGCACAAGTGCTCACAAAAA